ATAAGTTTATAAAAAAAATTGTAAAATTGTTATTGTTTTTGTAACTTACCACTGATATATATTTTTTCTTGGGAAAAACTTCTCTCCAATAATCTATTGCGTGGACTAGAGCATATTGTTGGGTTCGTGAGACTCATTATGGTTCCCGTTTTGATAATTTAAACAATTCAATATGTAGAGCTCGTCGAGTATTTCATGCCTGCAAAAAATCACATTGATAGAATATTAGTAGCTTCTTGATCAAAACACATGTTCGTCAATGATAAATATGATTATAAAAATAAATTATTAATAAAAATATGTTATGATCAAGGAACTCCTGATATCCGATCGACATAATTTTTTACAAACATAAACTACTCGACAAGCTCTACATATTAACGGTTCGGATTATCGAAACAGAAATCATGATAGACCCTACAAATCTAACAGTACGTTCCATTCCACACGATAGACTGGAGAGAAATCTCTCCCCTTTTTTCTCTTACTTCCAAGGTTTTAAAAAGCGGCCGCAACCGTTACGTAACGGTTTTGGCAGTAACCGCCACCCGTTACTGCCGCTTTTGTAGGATGATTGAGATTCACAAGTGTGGCTGCCGTAACGGTTCTAACGGTGCCGTGACAGCCGTAACGCCCTATTACGCACCGTTACATAACGGTTCCAAACTGTTTCTTTCGAAAAAACACACAAAAAAAGTTAAAAATGGGAGAAAAGGGATAGAAAGAAGATGGAAGATAAATAGAGAAAATGAAGGAGCAAGAGATAGAGAGAGAGAGAAGAGAGAAGATAAAGAACATGTTATTGATTTGTTGAAGCTGTAAGACCTATGCTATTCTATTCAGCTGCTATCACTAAACCATTTTGTTTGTGTGTGTCTATCTATATATTGTTTGAAAATAATAATAATAATAAGTGTAGTCATTATCTATTTGGCTTGGTTAAAATATGTATATATATATATATATATTTAGACTTCTATTTATTCTCTTACTTTTGTCATTGTTTATCTTATATATAATAGTTAGTGATTGATTGATTTTTTGTATAATATAAAGTTTTTAATTATAAAATAAAACGTAAAAAACTCAATTTATAGTGATTTAAAAATACAAAATATATTGGATCATACTTAAAAATTTATAAAAATTGATCAATATTTATTTTTAACCCAATAAATATAATCATGGAAAAAAAATATGCGTGTCGGTATGTTTATTTCAAATTGTGCAAAAAATAAAAAAATTCACGGTTCCGTTTACTGCAATTATTACACTACGGTCTTTACACCCTACAATCACAACCGTATCATCACCACCGTTACACCGTTACAGCAATCGCAACCGCTTTTCATAACCTTACTTCTCATATATTTTTTTTTTCCTCTTCTTTGTCTCTCTTTTACGGTATTTTTTCTATAATGGAAGATAGAGTGTCGCGAGATTATTTTAAGAAAATGATGAGGTGGCAAGTTGTGAGGGTGTGGGTGGTAGTAGGAAAGTATGTAGAGGAAAGGAGAAGAGTGGAAAACGAGGGGTACGGAAAGTTCAGTGTTGTGGATCACATTTTTTGGACCATGTTGGAGGTTGTGGTTGTAAGAAACGTTTTATGTATTTATTTTTGTTTATTTTTTTTATGGATCAAAGTAAAAGAAAAAATAAATAAAATAAGTTACACTCATCTCGGCATAAGTAAAATACGATTAATAATATATTTTTAACATAATTACATTAATCTCTTTTGAGATTTAATTCACATAACAATTAAATTTTTTTTCATCAGTAATTTATAAGTCGTATAAATCCGAAAAAAAAATGTATTATGATATATTTCCTACTAAAATGAGTATCTATTTTCTTAGTATCTAGATACTATTTGCATAAATTTTGCCTATTTTAACCTTACTGAGAGGAAGATGATTATTACATTAAAAGTGTGGAGTAAATTATAATTTTTTTAAACTTCAAAGGAGCTGTTGGTAAGTTATAAAATAAAAATAAAAATAATTACTTTAAGAAGTGAGAAAGTAATTTATTATTACCCTTTTTCATACTTAACATGTATTTAGCCGCATCGAGTATTAATAACATAATAAGGGTCCTTTGAGATTTGATATTTTAGTATTTTTTTTTTTTAATTATTATGATGTGAAAAACATTAGTGTGTTTAAAAATGATTTTTTTTTTAATTGTATGAAAAAATGAATAATTGGGGCAATTAACTTGTTTTTTTAAATATTTTGTAGTATTTTTTTAAAAAATTAAATTTTTTTGTAAACCTAAAATTTAATTTGCCAAGCAACCTTGAATATTAACAACTTGGGTGAACAAAAAAAAATTATTAGGGTCAATGAACATTACTCGACAATGTACATTATCAGTCATCAACTATTGTACCTGTTGTTTTTTCATAATTGTGAATCCTATCCCTCCACTATATCCCAACAAATCAACAATAGTTAATAAATCAAATATCGCACCTAATTATTTTCTCATAATTCAATAAAAGGTCGTGAATCATATCCCATCCCTATATCCCAACATATCAACATTAGCTACTAAAGGAAGGGGCTATATAGCAAGCATTAGGAGCTACAAAATAGCATTTCACTTGAGGGGGCTATATAGAAAGCATTAGGAGCTACAAAATAGCATTTCACTTCTTGTTTCTTACAAGTCAATTGCACAATTGAGAGTCTCTCTCTGCTTTTCTCATGTGCCTCTCACAACAACTCATAAGAAGTGACAAAAGTATACAATGCAAAAGAACATATTTTACATGGTGGTGATGATGAGGCTATTGTCACCACGTAGACAAAAATCTACTCTTTGTTTGCTTCAAATGAATTGCAAAAATGACAATTGTGTTTGGGACACAGAAATAATGAAACACAAAATATATAAATGCGACAAAATATATTTATTTACTAACAATGTTTGTATTTATAGATATAAATATTTATATTATATTACATCCATACATTTTGTATTTAGGGGTGGTATGAAATGATCTAAATAAGTACATTTTTTAACTTTTTACGAAATATGAATTGAGTATGGGTTGAATTTAAAGTGATGTGTTAGAGAAATAATGTGACTTAAATAAAATAATATAACTTAAATAGAATAGTAACTTTTTAACTTTTTCTAGATCATGCCAAATAAGTCCTTAATATCTTCTGGACACTTAAATTTTTTTCAAAAATGAAGGCTAATCAAACAAGCCCCCTTTCCAGTCATTTTCTTCCCAACTCAAAACCAAAATCAAAATTACAAAAAAAAATTGTCTACTTTTTCATAAGAAGTGACTTCCTATATCCCAAAAAAAAAAAAAAAAAAAAAAATGGGCCCTTTGAAAGCCCCTGGCAAAAAAAAAGAAAGAAAAAAAAAGGTGACTTTCTAGCTGCTTTTCCCACTCATCAAATCAAATCCCCCTCCTTTCCCAACCTACTAAATTATTGGGATTTGTTCAGGTGTTTGTTTCCTCTGCTTTCCATGATTCTTTTGCTCTTTTCCTATTTTGCCCCTTCCTAATCTTATCCATTAATGCGTTAACTACTGGGTATGCAAAAGGCACCACCAAACTTCCAAATTATTATATGGTGCTAATTTTAATGCATTTGTGAACAACAATTTTAAAAATATCATAATCTAACTGAGGAAATGACGAAACCAGATTCATCTAATCAGCTTGTTGTTAGTTTTGTTAAAAGCAATTCTTTTTAAATACGATAGTGTTATATGTATCAATTAATATATCAACACTAGTGATGATATTATTATTAATCTCATTCATTAATTATATTACAAATTTTAAAAACTTTTTAAATTATATTATATCATCAATTGATATACTAATTAATATATTAATTGATACATATAGTACTATTCTTTCAAATATCATTACTAATGTCATTTTTCCACAATCTTCAAATGAAATAGGGGCCACCATTAGACCAAAATAGGATTTAGGCATTATAATTACACTTTTAACAAAAATTAAAATTAAAATTAAAATTGGTAACAATTTTGGTGCAAAGTTTTATTTGTGTAACTTCGCGAATAACACTTGCACTAAAAAAAAAACTTTACGAAAGCACTAATTTACAATATGTTTTATTTAATATGCTTCAAGGTGTTCTCCGGTTTAATAATTACGAAATTGTAACTAACAATGTGGATTGGAACAAAATTCTAGTAAATCATTAAATACTCAAAATAACAATAATAAATAAATAAATGTGTGAATTATGTTTACCCTATGTTTTAACTTGTACTATATCAAATTTAGATTTACACAATACATTTGAATAAGAATAAATTAAACTAACCGCTCTCAAGGTTTAGGAAAAATATAAGCCTCACAAATTTAATATAATTACTTGTGCTTTTCTAAAATTTTAATTTTAATTACACTTTATCCACGGATCATCAAATATAACGCTAGTAATATATAAAAAAAAAATGCATATCTTACCTTAGATTATGCATATGTATATGGCTAGCCCGCATTAGTCACATTTTTTTTTTAATCATTTTTAAAAGATGATCGAATTAATTATATTAAACTTGTATAGTTTATTAAATTTTTTGAGTAGATATTTCACATTTACCTAACATTCTGAATCGTTAGAGTCATTGCATCTTGAGTTTAGAAAGAACTAGGGCAGAAAAAATAAGAAAAAAAGATAAATTATACTCACTTCCATAAAGTTAGCAAAAAATAGAATTGACCTCATACTTTCGACAAGGTTAAGCTGATCTCGTAGAAAGTTTTAAATTACATAACAGTTAAATTATTTTTAATTAGTAATTTGTTATATATATATATTTTTATATCTATCCACCATTTATATTAATTTTAGTCATGTTAGCCACACTAAAAGAAAAATCAATATACTTATATTAAAAGTGTGACAAGTATAGGACTAATTGTATTTTTTCTGAACGTTGGGGATGTGAGTGTAATTTACCCAAGCAGCCCTCGTGCAAATCAAGAAAACTTATTAAAACACATAAATTATTATTCGATTTCATTATTGTGTGCTAAGCCAACATTAATAGCTAATCAAACATGACTAAATTGGATAAGCATTGTTTTTGTCATACAGTTTCTTTCTCTCCATCCAGTGTCCACTCCTCTTCCCACACAAAACCCATCAACAAAATTTCATCATCTCAACCCACCCAACCAAAAAAAAAAGCAAAATTAAATTAAACACCCACTTCTGTATCAATTTGGCTTCTCATTGTCATCTTCCTCACAAGTTTGTTGCAATTGTTTTGGACTCTCCAATGCCCTTTTCTCTTGCTCTTCTTCCACATCCACATCCACATCCCCACATTTTACTGCTACTGCTCTATTACTCTCTGCTCTCACTTTCAATGCCTCCACCAATTGCCCCACAGCTTTTTCCTTATTTCTCCTATTCTTAATCAAAACCTCACTAATATCAGCTGGAGTCATCTTAGCCTCATCAATGACTTGTTTCAATTCCTTCACAACAATCTCTTCCAAGTCCTCTTCTTCAAATCCCAAATAATTCTTCAACAGAATCATCAATGCGGGAAATGAACAATAACTCATGAATATATGCATATCCATCCTCCCACTCCTCAGCAATGCCGGGTCCAGCTTCTCGATATGATTCGTGGTGAAAACGAATATCTTCTCGCTCCCGCAACACGACCAGAGTCCATCAGTGAAATTCAGCAACCCGGACAGCGTGATCGAGCTTCCATTACTATCGTCCGAAGTCGAATGTCTCGTTTCGGGGCCTAAGAAATTGTCGTTGTTATTATGTTGTTGTTGATTCTGATTCCGCACATTTTTCTTCCTGTTTGTCAAATTGATGGAGCAATCAATGTCTTCGATAACGATAATCGATTTCGAACTCGTCTTCATCAGGAGCTTTCTCAGCTCGGAATTGTGATGAACCTCGGTTAATTCCATGTCGTAGATATCGTAGCCCAGGAAATTCGCCATGGCTGCAATCATGCTGGATTTTCCAGTTCCAGGGGGTCCGTAGAGAAGATAACCTCGCTTCCAAGCTCGACCGGTCTTCTGGTAAAACGATTGGCCATCGGCGAAGTCACGAAGATCCGCCATGAGAGCTTGCTTCTTGATAGGATCCATAGCTAGGGTTTCGAATGTGCTAGGATGCTTGAAAGGAACGGACTCCCAAGGATGGCCTCTAGCATCGATAGAACCGCCGCGCGAATTGGTGTAGAGAAATCGATCCTGATTGTTCCTTCGAATCTCGGTAGCTTTTTCCATGATGTGATCGAGGTAGGATTGGAGGATGAGATTCTTGTCCTTTTTCCGGATACGGAGAGTGAAACCACGCTTCTCGTCGGGCAATGGGCGCCAGGAGAAGGTGTGGGATTGGCGGTGGGTGACGACGTGTTCCCAAACGACAGAGACGCCGCGAAAGACGTCGAGGAGGCGGTCGTTGTTGGAGAGGGAGAAGGTGACGGCGGAGGAGTTGGTGGAGCGGGAGAGGGAGAGGCGGTTGCCGGAGATGGAGGCGGAGGAGCTGAGGTAGAGTTGGGCGGAGTTGTAGAGTTCGTTGGTGTTGACGCCGTCGATCTCGGTGATTTCATAGAAGCAGTAGGAGGAGAACCAGTTGAAGAGGCGCTGGAAGAGTTTCAGGGAGGCGAACCGGAGCTCCGGTGGGAGGACTGTGTGGAGGAGGCTTTGGCAGAAGGCCCAAACTCCCATTACTGATGCCAAAGATGTCCACAATTCCTTCATCTTTCTTTCTCCTATCAATATTTTATTTTATTTTTTTTTATTTTTTTGGCTAGAGAGAGATGCTCGGGAAATGGAGAAGGACGAGTGTGTTTTTTGGGTTTTCGAGAGATGGGTGTTGGTTGATTTATAAACGAGTTTTGGAGTTCCCCTCGAGTATATGTGGGAGAACAATAATTCTGTCAATCCTACTTGCTACATATTCTGAATGACAAATGATACAGGTTACTTTTACACTTTGTTTGGTTAGAAAATTTGAAGAGTAATTTGAAAAAAAAAAAAAAAATTAGTCAAAATATGTATTATTTCACATATTTTCATGTCTATTGTAATTATTTTTAATTCCCTTTTTTTTTCTTGGTAATTTCTTTGGTCAATTCATTCATTGTATCTATTTGAATTCTAAAAAACAAAGAAGAAGAAATTATCTCTAAAACAAAAAATAGTATATTAATCTTAAGATAAATACCAAATTTAATTGATAAAAGAGTATCAAATTTCCATAAAAAATATTGAATTATGCTATCAACATTTTATATGAATTTATAATTTGGTTAAGTACATAAGTCTAGACATATTAGGTAACTATCACTTAAAATTGAGGGTAAATTACAAATATATCCTTTGAGGTTGTCTTAAAATATATATTGTCCATTGTAGTTTTGAAAATCACAAAAATTCCATTGTCAAAAAATTTTATTTAATAAAACTAATAGAAAAAAATGAAATTCCTAAATATTCTCCTATGCAGTATAATAAAACTATTGAAATTATTAATTAAAATATATTTCTAATATCATTAAAAACTATTAATTGACTTAATGATTTATTAATAAAATGGATCATTTGTAATGCAATTAGAAATTGGAGGGATATAATGTAATTTTCAAAACTATAGAGAGCGATTTGTATTTTAAGTAAATCCCAGAAAATATATTTATAATTTACCTTAAAATTTAAAATTAACTTAGAAAGAATTTGAGTCTAAAGTTGATAGGCTTTTTTTACCAGCCGGTCCCAGTAATTGAATCTATTACTCATTAGGTCCTAAGTTTCTATCTCATATACCAAGCGGTCCTGTAAATTTTTTTTCTCCAGTTTTGCCCATATTCTGTTTTGCCCCAGGTTCGTTGTTCTCTCTCTCTCTCTCTCTCTCTCTCTCTCTCTCTCAGTATTTTATTTATTTGGGAGATTTGGTGATAACCCTCTCACTATTAATTTGTCTTAAAAAGGTCAAGAATTATATAAGTACTTTTTTAAAACCCCCTAATATTTTAAAACTTATTTCTTTTATTATATTACCCTCATATCTATCAGCTCTCCTATTAATCATCTTCACTATATATATTCAGAGTAAAATTTTACTCTGTATAAAGTAAAATTTTATATTCTGAAACTAAAAGTAAAATTTTACTCTGTTATGAAAAGTAAAATTTTACTCTGTATGAAAGTAAAATTTACTCTGTATAAAAGTAAAACTTTACTCTGAATATAGTAAAATGTTACACTCTGAAACTAAAAGTAAAATTTTACTCTGTATATAAAGTAAAATTTTACTCTGAAAAATGAGTAAAATGTTAGACTCTACACAAAAGTAAAATTTTACTCTGTATAAAAGTAAAATTTTACTCTAGTTCTGTCAAATGAAATTAGATACAAAACAACAAAAAAAATAAAAAAAACAAACAAACAAACAAAAACAAAACAAAACAAAACAAATTAATCAACAAATCAACATATCTAATTGAGAAGAAAAACTTCTAGATCAACAATCACAAATCTCAATGAAAAGAATACATGTGTTCAACAACACTCATACACACAATATATATATATATATAATATATAACACACATATATTCAAAACTCAAATCTGTGTTTAAAAAAATATGTATAACCAAACAACTCCACCAAACATGCCTCAATTTAGAGACGATCTGTTTCTCCTCGTAGACAATCTCCTTCGATTCCGGCACCGGAGGACAAATTTCCGGCCCGTAGTTGATTTCATTCTCAATGTCTTCTTGATGAGTTCATCGTAGAGATCAGTTTCGGCATTGTTGATCGCTGGAGTTTTGCCTGATAACTGATCGGACTTGGCTAGGAGAGTGGATGACGATGACGTTGCTATCATCGCCGGAGAAGAAGAAGTTAACAAAATTGTCGAGAAATGGAGCTTCAGATCTGGAAAGGAAAAAGGGAGGGGAGAGATAGAGAAGGTGGGGAAAGAGTGGGTGGAAAAGGTGGAAAATTTAGTTGAGGGTATAATAGTCTAATAAAAATATTTAAATTATAAATTTTATCCTTTATGCAAGACTTTATAATTTATGAGGGGGTTTAAAAAGTATAATTTTTTTCTTAATTCCTTTTAACAATAAAAGAAGGTAGGATGAAATTATGGAGCGTAATGAATTTTATATTTTTATTTATTGTGGGAGGGGGGGAGGGGGGGGGGTTGTTTAGTTAATATAAGTAAAAAAAAAAATTAAATTGATGATGATATAAAGTTTTCATTTGGCATATTGGTTGGGTTAATTGTTGGGTTAAATAGTTAAAAAAATAAGATAAATTAAAATGTTAAAAATAAAATGTCACATTCAAATCATAATTATTTTATTTTATTTTATTTTTATAAAAATTCAAAATTCAAAAAACCTCAATCCAAATGAAGTTTTTTAACCTCAGACTAAAATAGTTAAAAAATCAACTCACTTTCCAAAAAGAGCCAAAATGTCACATGTTACACATCAATTATTCAATTTTCTCTTCACAATCATCTTTCAATTACGAAAAAATTCACAAATCATTCAAATAATTTTTTTTTTCATCTCATAAAATAGTCAAAAAATTAAAAAGTCAATTAAAATAGTCAAGTTCCAAACAAGACCATAAAAGAGTAACAATATATAAATATAAATTTAATATTGTTTAATGTGGAAATTTAATTTTATAATAAAATATTTATAAATATAAATTTATTTATAATAATGACATTTATACTATTTTTAGTAAATATATATATATATAATATATATATACAGTAGAA